TGAAAAAATAAAAAATAATATTTAATTTATTAATTATTTAATTAAATTTATTTATATGATATTTATTTTAAAATTGATATTTATTTATATATTTTTTATACAAATTTGTTATAAAAAAATATTCTTAACTTGTATTTTAAAGATATAAATTAAAAAATTATTTTTTTAACATAAAAAATTTGAAGGATGGAGAATTAGTTTTACAAAAATTAGAATTAAAATTTTTGTCTTGGTAAACTTACACTTTATTCAATATAACTAGTGCTGTAGGTTCTATCAAAACTTGCTTTAATTATTCATGTCTATAAAAGAGTTTATCTAATATGTAATTCTGAGGATATAAATTAAAAATGTATTAAATATATATTTTTATTATAAATTTATATTAAAAATAAAGTTAATATTAATTTATTAAATATTTAATTAAGTTTTTTAATACTAAAATTAATATTAATTTTTACATTTTTATACCAATTTATTATAAAAAAAATCTCTTTAATATGTGCTTAAAAATATATATTAAAAAATTAATTATTTTACTATTTAAATTATTTTAAATTATCAATTTATTTGTGGTCTATAAAATGCGAGGAGTTGAAAAAAGGAAAAGCATACTTAAATATCTTGACGGTGGTCGCCTTTCTCTATTTCCTCTCCTCTCTCTTGCTCTTCCTTTACCCCAACCATCATTTCTATGTTTAAGTTATTTCAAATTGTAAATTTCTTTGTCATCTACAGAATAGGGGTTGAAAAAAGGGGCAGCATACTAAACCATCTTGACCCCTAGCCGCCTTTTTTTATTTCCTCTCCTCTCTCTTGCTCTTCCCTTACCCCAACCATCACTTCTATCTATGTCTAAGTTATTTCAAATTGTAAATTTCTTTGTCATCTATAGAATAGGAGTTGAAAAAAGGGGAAGCATACTTAACCATCTTGACCCCTAGCCGTCTTTTTTTATTTCCTCTCCTCTCTCTTGCTCTTCCTTTACCCCAACTATTATTTCTATATCTCCTTAGCAATCGAGGAACATGAATAAAAGATGACACTTTTTTCAAAGATTTTTCTCCTTTGTTTTATGTGAGTTTCACTCTTTTTTAAGAGCTTTTTACTGGGTATCTCAATATATTTTTATTAGATTTTTATGAGTTTCACCTCTTTTTCTTTTTTCTTTTTTGAAAGTCTTTATCTTAATTATTTTGATATATTTTTATCAAAATTTTCCTATGATAAAGGAAGAAGGTAGTGTAGATGTAGGGTTGGTTAAGTTCAAACAGATATAGGGCTTGCTCTGATCGTCAACGATATAGTCTAGTGTGGGGTCTTTGATTAATCTTTGTGCTCCAAAAGGTGTAACGTCAAGAGGGTCCCTCCAATGCTTTTTTGACAGAAAATAGGACAATCTTTCTCAGTCGCTTGTTTATTTCCTTTGACAATTGCTTGAGATTTTTTTTTACAGTAGAAAATTGTTATGATTAATATTAGTATTTGTTTATGTTTGGGAAGGATCGAACAGTTGAAAGAGGTGTAAAAGGAGGTGTAATTCATCTGCTGTACTTAGGTAGCGTGACCACTACAGTACCACACTACCATTGGACCACATGAGAGTCTGCAATTGCTTAAGATTAACTTGCAGTGCTGAAATAGATAATTAGGTGTCGAATTATTGAGCTTAACGTGCCTCTATTAAATTGTTGTATTAAAATAATGGATATTAAGTTGTCTTTTTAATATATTACATAATATATTTATTAAAAAATTATTTTTATTTAAAATTAAGAACAAAAAACTTAAAATTATAAATTTTTATGATTGAATCGATAAATATTAATAATTGTATTAAACTAAATAGTATACCAATATTTTTTAAAAAAGAATCCAATTCACAAACTTTAATGATTGAAAAGCTATTCTTCATTTTCTCTTTTGTTTTTGTGGTTTGTGGATTGAAAAGAATCCAATTCACAAACCTTACTGGATTACTTGAAGTATTTGACTTACAAAATACGCCGTATGCAGCAAAAATTTAGTAAAAAGGAGAAACATAAGAAGAAGAACACAAAGATAAATGGCATTCATTTCTATCTTTAGTAATTACTTTGTGTTGAAAATATGCAATTTTTACTTTATTTTTATCAACTATTGTCATAATTAGTTAACTGAAAAAAAAAAAAAAATCTCAACTTAGGCTTCTCATGAAATGTTGTTTTATATATGTAGAGAGCTAAATTCTTTTCTTTCTTTCTAAAGATCTCAGATTTGGACTCAAAGACTTAATTTTTCAATTTGATTAGATGAATTTTATATATTTTAGTTTACAATTATAACTGTAATTTTATTGATATTTGAATGAGTTACAGATGATTTTATTGGATTTCAAGTAGTTTTTATTATTTGTGTAAAAAAGGACTAGAATGCATGAAATTTAAGATTTTGATACTTCAGTACAACTCTTTAAAAAATTTAGGGACTAAAATGCAATAAAAAAAGTTAAAATCAGTGATAAAATTGAATAAATATAAAGTTTGAGGATCAAGGTACTCAGGAAATAAAAGGTGAGGCACAGGATTGTATTTTTTACCATTAAGATTAGCAGGATTTTTGTGGATGGATGGACAGCGTTATGACGTACATAACAGACGAATGATGGATGGTTCTCCCTGTGTGAAGGATGGAAAAAAAACCTTCTCAATGCAATAATTCTATACCAATTGAATGTATAACAAAAGGAATTTCTTTCTAGGGAATATGCCCACAAGAATTTAATTGAGTGGATATTTGATTTTGGGATCATACTCAAGCATTCAAACATAGAAACTGAGCATAAAGAGAATTTGAATGGAATTGGTACTTTGAATGGTTAAAATGGAGGAGAAAGGATGCCCTGATATATAGGTAAAATCCTTATTTATACCTTGTACATCATTTTCTTTTTAATCAATGCTTTCAAGAATTTTTACTTAAAGTTAATGTCTTTTATAATTTAAAATGAATAAAAAACTTAAAAATTATCAATCAAGCCTCTTATTAACACTTTTGTTAGTAATTTATGACTTTTTACATATTTTAAATTATAGAAGACATTAATTGAAAGTGAAAATTATGAAAAATGTTAGATCATAAAAAAAATAATATATAAAATACAAATAAGGCTTTGACCCAAAATATATATAGTTGTAACGTTCCAGTAGAGGATGATTTCTAGAAGAAATCAAATATTTTTTTTTTTATTTTATACATCTAAATGGACTATATAAGAAAGGATAATCCTCTCCTTTCCCTAATTCTTTCTTCGTCTAACTCAATATTCGAACTTGAAACCTTTAAGTTGGAATTTTAAGATCTTAATCATTGAATCACTCCATTGGAGTTAGAAATTGAATATTGTTGGTTTCATTTTGTTTCTTGCTTAAAAAAGGCACGGATCAGATCAATCCCGTGTTATCATGTTTGCATTATAATATAATTTCACCTTTTTAATAGAATAATAAGATTCATGTATTATAATTTATATAATATATTAAAAGTGTAGTATGTTTTATAAACTTATTAAAATACATTTGATAAAATAATATAAAAATAATTTTAATAAAAATATTTTAATAAATTTATATGGTAGACTGTACTTTTAATATGCAGTCCATCTTCTAAAACACTTTCGTGTAGAATGATAATGCCATATTTCCCTATGTTCTTAGTAGTACTAAATTTCTACCTATCAAATGACAAAATGTCGACAATATTGTTATGCTCCAATGGATTGATGAAAATGTGCATAGAAAACTTGCAACAAATGTAACATAAATTAGGACATGTTTTTGGTCACCAAACTCTTTCTGCCAAGCAGAATTTGTAAACTCAGAATGTCAATCTTGGACTTCTCCTCTTGGCTCTACCAATATTATGCAGAATGTTCTAATTTTCATTTTCTTAACGTTGAAATATTCATTTAGGTAGTAAGAGAAGGAGAATGGGCACTCCCTCTTTTATAACATTGTAATGGAAAAGATTTAATGAAAATTAAATAAAAAATAAATGAGAAAGTTATATCTATTCCTGTATCTTAAAATAAATATTGTTTTTTGATTTTTTTTCTTAAATTAAAGATTTGAAAATAATATTTATATTTATCTATAATACTTAAAAAAAAAGATAAAAAGAGATTTTTTTAATTAAATAATTAATTAAAATAAATAACTAATATTAAAATTAATAAATATTTATCTATTTTAAAAATAAAAAAAATAACAATTAATTTAGAGAAACTCAATTTCAAAATTGGGATAGGGGAGTACTTACCTGTACCAAATAATAATTCTAGAGAAATTTAGATTCAAACATAAACCAAACCTGGACGACCTCAACAACGTTCATGATAAGATGACGCAACTAAAATGAACAATGCCTTGGTTTGTTGGATTTTTTTTCAAGTCACCTGCCTTGGTTTGCATGCACTTCCATATATATACATATATATATATATATATATATATTAAGGATTTATTTATGTATAAATCTTATATATTATATTTATACAAAAATTTAACCATTCATATCTTCATTTTTAATGATTAAAATTTATTATGATTTTTTAAATAAAAAATATATTCATCATCTTACCAGAATTAGAAGACCCTATCTTCGTCAGGGTAAGCAAATCCAACATCTACCCCCCTTCATCATCAGATGACTGGTCTAAATCTTCATTAAGCTTAAATATGTAAGCAAATTCACATGATACCATTCCTTCAAGTGTGGATAAGTGTCACAATATTAGATGATAGATATTCGAAGACTACATTCTTGAACACTCGTTTACTTCTACAAAAGATTTTAAGGAAAAGCTATAATTCAGATAAAAACTTTAAAAAATTTTGTAGTCTAGAGTGTATCAAACAACAAGAACAAGAAGTATTGAACAAAAGAAAACCCTCATTATCAAAGAATTTTCATAATCTAATCCCACAAGACCATATAACACTTTTAAAACTTAAATCCGTAAGTAAGTCTACATGTTTCTATTCCCTCAAGTATCTCCAGATAGCAGTGTTTCTTTTTTTTTTTTTTGGTACATCTCCTGATAGCAGTTAGAAATACACAAACGACACCGAAAATATATCCTTAAGGAGCTACACATGCAGTAACAATGTTTTTGTTTCCGGAATCCACAAATGATGAGTGTGTGAAACAGCTTGCAGGAAAATTTTCTTGAAAATATATAGAATGGGGAAATGTAACACAACTTGAACTTCTATTATTTCCAAATGAAAATTCTAAAATTCTAAAAAGAAAAAGAAATCTTTGTAATGGCATTTCTATCGCTAGGTATCCGATCCCACAATACAAAATCTACACAGCTTTTTCGACATCATACACCTAATTTTGTGCCTCTTAGTGACAAATCTTCTCCAAGCTAATTCTTCCTCAATGTCACAAACTCTTCGGCCCACTTCCAGGATCATCCATCCTACTTTCCAATCTCCAGCAAAAGCACACATGCCAAGTACTTCTTAAAAGTTAAAAAATTTTAAGAATGCTTTTCCAACCATGAGAATGCTAATCAGGTTTTGTCTTGGCTATAACAGAGAACACCCGGAAGTTTTAACAGCCAAATAGGAATTCAAATTTACCAATGACCCAAGAGATCCTTCTGATCATGATAGGCAACCTTAGAAAAATTGTTACACTGCCAGTACCTTACACGAGATCTCCATCATGAATACACCTTGTTCAACCTGCAGCCTGTAATAATTTTCATCTGCTTCTTTAGTAAACATAGCAGATAAGGGATCATGCTCAAAATTAGCTACTCCAAGAGTAGGTATAAGAGTTTTTGTCCCTTTCATCCTGGCATTTCATGTTTTTCAAAATTTCTCATTCGCATCTTTGAAATCATGCCGGGGATGAAAATGAATACAAGACAACTGGAATTGAATAGGAATAAAGCCTAAACAAAATTAAGTACCTCGTTACTCCCCTCTCCTGGAGCTATATGGTCACCTTCCCTGAAGTACTCGGTAATTAAGAACAAGATCCTCAGGTTTCTTCCATATGTAAGCTCGCACAGTAGCTAAGCTCATATCTGGGGATAAGACCTGTAGAAAGTAAAAAGCCAGGTTAAATACCCTAGATCTCAAGGACACAAGAATACAAGCCTATTAAAAAGTCCTTTCAAGTGAAGTTTGCAGCCCACTTAAAATCCCAAAGCTCTCTTGATGATAGAAAATGGGTTTTGGTGGTGAAAAATGCAATTTGGGATGCAAAGAATAAATTTACATAAAGAAAGAAATTTTTAATTTGATCCAATGTAGCAAGTAGGAGGCACTCATTCAAATCTCCAACTACAAAATGGAAATTATATGGAAGTAAAAAAAAAAACAACTTATAAAGTCATCAAACAAAACAGTACCTGAACTAAACAAGTTATACATGAAGAACAAGAACTATTTTACAGCATTTACTTGAACATTTCAAACACTAAAAGTCCAACGTTTGCAACAAAAAAAGCTAGAATAAGGGTTCTTTAACAAATGACATTTGAAACATCATAAAAATCATTTAACTTGCCTGATTATTGCACAAAACCTCAATAGAAGGTCGAAGCTTTAGCCAAGGTTTTAATCCAGACCGAAAAGATAAATCACCTACTGCAGAGAGCTGTGATTGCCCTCCATGTCCAGGAGCAAATGCTCCATCAGTATTTACACTCTCCAGTGGTTTATCTTTATCAAGAACCATCTTTTCTATAACATAATTGACAACCTACATAACAACAATAACATAGCCAACAAGTTAGTTTTTTTCATAAAACCCCCAACACTTTTAAATTCAAATATAGAAAACTGATCTGCTAAGTAAGTGCCATGGTTAATTAACCACAGTCCAACAATATTGTAGTTTTGAAAGGCATGCTAACTCATTTTTATGGTAGTTTTATTATATTCAAGAATTTTCTATCATGAGTTTCAAAACTAAAACTTTGGTTTATAGATTTCTAAAATTGAAAAGTGCTCTTGAGGAGTCTTCAGTATTTTCAACCTAAACTTTGGTTCTATAGGTCGTTAAAATTAGAGACGAAATTAAAAAAAGGAAAAAAAAAAAAAAGCGAAACATGGATACATTTACAATAATAACAATAATAATACACAATCACAAGCAGAAAATAAGAACTAGAAAAAAATATGCTACATAACACAGACCAAAAATAGAAGAATTTAGTCAATTCCTTGAAACATTATCATCTAAAAAATATAAGAATCAAATGCATATAAACTATAAATAAAAAGCATTTAATACAAAATTTTGGGGACTCATCATAGCTCATTGCCAAAGAGACAATGTACTTCAATTGTTCTTTAGGCTACAACCAATACACAGATCATGAGTTATCTTTAACAAATGATTTTATCAGGAAAAAAATGTTGTTGTCTCAGCCATTGTGTTGCTCACACAACAAAAATATACAGTCAATGTTATCTGTCATAACTGTGTACTGCACGTCAAAAACGAGTTTACCTTTTCATACTATGAGAAACCAAACAGACTTACTTTATGTATTCTCAATATTCGAGGTGCACTTAATTTCCCTTGTGTGAGGATCTGGATAGCAGAACCTTCACATGGATGCAGGTAGAAGCTACACCTGCAAAATAAATAAAAAATGGCAAAACTTCATCAAGTTAAAGAGGGAACAGGGGCAGGAGAGAACCCTACTAATAGCAATAAATCATAAATGAGAAATATGAAGATTGAACTGCAACCACAGCCATATGGCATAGTAAATTTTCATGGATTCCTGATAGAGGAACATTTAGCTTTAGTTAGCTTTTTATGCTGAAAAAAGACAGCACATACTTAATACAATTTAATTACATCTTTCAGTATCAATATATACACCTGATGGTAAAACAGATAGCCCAGAAAACTGCCATGGGTTGAATTTGAAAATAAATGCTTACATATACAAAAAGCATTTATAGTCTGTAAACATGCAACATAAACCCTATTGGTAATGGGTCTAGTCCACATTTTAGGTTTCCCCTCAACTCAACTTGAGATTTTTTTTTACCATTTAATACTCCCCCTTTGACCTATCATGTGGACTCACAATCACAAGGTCCACAATCCACCAGCCATTGACAAACCACAGCAGAAATCACCTTTGGGTTGTGCAAACCCTTTCAGTCCTGCACAATAAATGCGCTAAGTGCTAATTGTCCCTGGGCCCTGACACATGTAAACATCCAACCTAAACCAATTGGTAATAGGTGGAGTAGTCCATGTTGTATTTATGTCCAAAGGTTTCCCCTTAACTCATTAATGTGGCACTTTTAACACTTAACAAAACCCACAACAATGACATATTTCACAAAATCTTAGTAAATGCCATTCATTCACAAGGACTGCAGTCTCCAAATTGTTCGTCACCACAAAACAGACATATTCCACACATAAGTCAACCAACAGGCCAATAAGGAAAAACAAAACTTCTTAAGTATGCATTATTAACTATAAGAGAAAAAGTTGTAGAAAGAGAAATTACTTGGCATTTTCTCTGGGAGGTAGGCGATTATTCAATATACAATCCAGAACCCAGCAAGGGAATTCCTTATCATCTTCAGTTCCATCTAATTCAGTAATTTTCTTTCTCCATGGACCTCCTTGAGAGCCCTCAGTAATAATTGAGGGAGGACACACTGTTGAAAACTGAAAAGGAGGATAAACCATGGCGTCATTCTCAACATTAGAATCTACCTCAGATCTTGAATGGGTAAGACTTCTCATGCTAATGTCTCTCCCAGATAATGCATCTCCATTAGATGAAGCTTGGGATCCAGGTCTCTGCCTTCTTTTGGTCAACCAATGAGCTAGCAGACCTTTAAGGGTTTCACGTGCTAGATTAACCTGCCCATAACAAGTCCCACAAAAAATTGCACCAAAAATGGAAAACAAACAAGTTCAACTTAAGAGAATAATGTATCTCAATTAAAATGATAGTGGAAAGATTTTTTATTTTTATTTTTATTTATTTATTTTTGCTAAAATGAAAACAGGAAGGTTAATTGGAATCATTTTTAGCTATTGTTATAGAGGATTCAAGTTACATATACAAGATGAAAACCTCCAGTAAGTTTCAGCATGGTATAAACTAAAGCTGCAGTTGGAATTTGCTTTCACAGCACTTTTCCCTACAGCCATGCAATACTAAAAATTTTTTTAATTAGAATTAAATTAATTTTAATTAATATTTTTATATTTAGTAATTATAGAGACATACATCTCTTTTGAAAAGGAATTACCCAGCACTAACATAGATTTTGGTAACAACAAAGTATATGAACAGCCACAACACTTCAAAGCAATCTCTAACACAGACCCTGATTATGTTTCTAGATCCATCAAAACTTTGCAAACCTAAAACAAAAAATAATCAGCCAAAATCCTCTCTAGCATGGAATCCTGTTAGTTGAAGCTAATAATTCTTCTTCTTTTAAATGGCTTTAATTATTCCAAAAAGAGAAAAGATGAAGAAAGTTACAAAGCAAAGAACAATTAAAAGGATCAGCCATAAATCGAAGAAAAATATCCTCCAAAACACTCTGCACCATAAATCTAAGAATAATCTGTCACACTTATCTAGGCTTATGGTGAGTGAAAAAAATTCCTTGTCATTTTGAGTGCAATTTAAGGTCGAACTTTAGCCAACAACATCATGCAAACATTTTAAAAACCAATATGTCATGCCTGACACAAGCAATGAGAGAAGCATTGTGGTCTGTCCAAGCAATATTAAGACAAACCTTATCGTCCTCAGGCTTGCCAGTTATATTAAGATCTGCTGAATACATTTCTGCTGAAAAGCATTGGGGTGTATCCAAGTGAATGGACAAACTTCCAAGCCTGGTATCCACAGCAAACCATGCGGGAATGCTTACCTATAGCAATCAAAAAGAGAAGAAAAGAAGAATCAGTAGTAAAACCCATGAAAAATCTTAAAATGTAATTGCATATGCCATTGAACAGAAAGTAATTATACCATCTCAAACAATTCCTCCTTTTTCTCATCAAATGAAACCTGAAAATTTTCAAAATTTGAAGAATGAAACATTACTGTCATTACATAAGGATCCGTTTGCATGTACATATAAATATATACCAAAAAAATATTTTATTAATTCTAGTAAGAGAGCAGAGAGAGGGTGGATAAAAGAGCCTGCCTGCCCATAATCCTCGACTACAACACCTCTGGTAACCTCCCAGAGCTTCACTAAACCAGCAGTGTCCTGGTAGATGGATGAAACATCAGTTTCAAAATGATGCAATTTTCAAAAAAATAAAAAATAAAAATTTAGATCACCCCAAATCTACCTTAGTTAAGACATGCCTTCTATTATTTAAAATTTCATGCTGCACTATTGCTGCAGCTCCAGGGATGGTAAAGGTCGGTTCTTTATAGACAGGGACCTACAAATGAGCCCAGTAATTAATTTCAATGACTAAGGGAATAAGTACATATCCATACTTAGCAATATATATAAAAATAAAAAAATAAAAAGGAGAGCAAAACAGAAGGGAGATTGAAATTTAAATAAATTTCGGATCCATAATAAAACATCAGGAAAAATTATAATTAAATAATCAAAAATGAAACTTCAAATATAAAAATTAATCTAGTTTCTTCTTTCTCCACAGCTGATTATCTACGAATATGACAGGAGAACAAGAGGAATACATTCAACTAACACAAAATCATCTCACAGTAAAACAAGAGGATCAGCAGTGCACAGAAATACAACAGTTAAATAAACTCACTAGAGCAGATCCTTCCAAGGAAACCCTTGCCCTCGAAAAGGACAAGTTTCCTGCCAAGAATGTACCACCTCTCTGAAAGACCTTTTGTAGATTGCGTCCTTCTGCAGGCCATCTATGAACTGAAGAATCTGTTGTTGCAACCCATATGCTATCATCATGCAGTGCCAATTGCAAAATGGGATGCTCCTTCATGCAAAGCAAAACACTCTCTCTTGTTGACAAATCTGTCAAATACAACTGATTGAATGCAAAAATAAATAAATAAATAAGAATTAAAAATTTTGACAGCAAAGTCTAAACAGTAAAAGTTTGAGAAATCAGAAAGATGCATATAGAATAGGTTTCAAAAATCAAGAGAAGATGTACTTACAGAGAGATCTCTACCACCACTATAAACATGACTAAATGTGGGGGTGCTAGCAAGTGCCCAAACAGAATCTGTATGCACAGCATAGGAATGCACGCATCGCTGTTGACCAAGGTCCCATAATCTACAAAGAGAAATTCCTGATCTGCTAAAGCTCTCAAAATGATGCGTGGTAATCCAAAAGTAACAGCATATGCATAAAAATATATACCTGATCATAGAATCAGAAGACCCTGACAAGCAATACCTGCAGTTATGAAATACAAAATCTAGTCAACAACTCACTAGTGCAACAAATGTGCAGCGTTGGGCATCCATCAAGAATAATAGAATTCAATATGATTGATCAAGCAGAGGACTAACCAGATTCAGTAACTAATTTGTTTTAACCAACCAAAGCTGAAGAGTTAGACTAGATGGTGTCCTCTAGCCTAAAATTTGTTATTCTCAGCCCTGAGTCAGAGGTTCTAACCTCTGTAACAGTTACATACTTACTTTCTAATATGCCAATATTAAGAACTAACAAAAATTTAACAGGATAATACATATCAATCATGTAAATTACAATTGAAAAAATCATTGCAGTTAAAAAGTTGAAAAATAAATATGAAAAAGTCTATGTGTATAATTCTATTATAGGGTTTAGTGTACACACTACACTGATTTTCCCAACAATATTTTCAACATTGGACCATGGGAAATATTCATCATCCGAAATAAATTTTCTTGCTTCTACAAAAATAGAAAATAAAAATGGGAAAGTTAAATGGTATCCAACCCTCTAACGCATCTCCTTCAATTTACCTAAGGCATGGCATGGTTAAGTTCAGATTTCTTTCAATATCTAAAATAACTATATCAATAGAACTTGGAATAAGTACAACTTCACCAGAAAATGATCAAGGCGGATCACCTCACATGGTACAAGAGAATAAATCTGAATTCCAATTTCCAAAAACAGCATAAGCTTTGTGAAAGTGTTAAGAGTTGCATTATATACATGCTCCCTTGCATCACCGAATAATTTTAAATTGACTTTTAGCAGAATTACATCATAACTCTATAACAGGCCAGGATTAACACAGTTGAATAAATCTGAACTAAAGAAGAGACTAATATTCTTTGATGTAGAAACAAGCACCCAGTTTCGTTTAAAGCAGATAAAGTTCAACAAAGATTAAAATTTGAATAATCATTGGTTAGGTAAACAAAAATCATATAGCCAAATCCACCCAACCAACCTCCCAGTGGGATCCAGAAGCAAGGCCCTAATGTTATCTGTGTGCCCTCTAAGCTTCATAGTCTTTGATCCAGTCCTTGGGTCCCAAACTCTCACAACCTGGATGAAAGTAGGAGAAAACCGAGAAGGATAACAAAAATCAAATGATAAAAATGAGGAAAATTGGTAATGACATAACTAGAAAATAGTACCTTCTCAGTTCCACCAGAGACAAGAAGAGTTCCACCATCAATCATTGCCAGAGCGTAAACAGATTCTTTATGACCTTTGGCAGCAATGGGAATATATCCATGAGATTGAGTTGTGTGAGAAGAAATGCAGTTATTTGAGCTAATTGTCCGCAAGTTTGTCACAGATAATGAATTAGCAGCACCATTGACACCATTTGAACAATCATCTTCCATGCCATCACTAGACTTTGAGAGTGGAGTAAGTGCAGATTCGATATCCCATATGAAAACCTCCCCACCAAGGCCACCAGAGGCAACAATATTGCTCTAAAATGCATGACACTAGAAAAGAATTAGGGAATGGCTTAAAAAATAAAATGACATCGTAACTTCAACAATAATTTTCTCTGTCAAATTAAGCATAAAACACAAATAGATCCTCTGACTTAATAGAAACCTTTGATTCCTTCAGTTAATTACATCCACAAAATAGTTGACATAGAAATTACATTTTTTTCTGCTGCAGCTAGACACGTAACATAGTCAGAGTGTTGACGTAGAGTCCGGGTACAAGTTCCATCTGACAGGCTATTCCAAGTCTGATGTCAGGAAAAAAAATTAAAATACTAGTAAATAAACAACAAAATTAGTCAACAAGACAGCAACCAAAAATAGAGCACAAAGCATACTATAAACCTTCACAGTTGTGTCTGATGAACAGGAAACGAGGGTATTATCACTAGCAAGAACAGCATCATTTACCTGCATAGCCAAGGGAAAAAGCAATGTCATTTCTTGCTATTCAAAATTAACATCTACACTCTACAAACCAGAACAGGCAATAGAGCTCTCAACATTAGAATTAACTATTTATAGAACAGCAATTGATGGTTCTTCACATGGTGGAAAATAAATTTCCATAGATAAAACAGAAGATACCCAATCAACATGCGACTCAAATGTAGCCGAGCAAGTAGCAGCATCTTCACCAAGTTCCCATCTCTTAAGTGTGCCATCACGGCTCCCAGTGAAGAGATAGTTGCACCCATTGGATACCGATGACTTTAGCACTGCCAAACAATTTATGCCAGCACAATGCTGCAAAAGACAACTCAAAACTCAGTCCCTAACTCCAAAATAGTGATATTGTCATTAATTCTTATATATAACTTGATCTTTGGGAAATAAAGCATAAGAATGCAAGGAAAACCCTCCAGATCAATAATAGCATGAACTATATGATAGTACCCACATCTGCTGACATGCCAACTTTTATGATACGCAAGAACATAAACCCCATGAGTGTAAACTTCTCAGAAATGAAAAAGAAAAATTGCAAGCACAACACAACTCCACCTTCGTGTCATCAGCATCATTTAACACATATGTCAGCCTCTTCTCCTTACGAGGGCGGTTTGAATTGCCATTGTTCCCCGCACTACCAACCCGGTGCATTGCAATGACCCTTAAACAAATATGGTAATAATCAGAGGATTTAAAAATACAAACTGCAAAATCATCACTCTATACAAATACTAAAATGACCTGAGCAAAAGTTCAACGCAAAAGAAAAAAAAAAAAAACCAGAATGCACATCACCGGCCAAAATTTTCAAGCTTTAACAGATAATTTACATTCAAAAAATGCTAAAACTAGTAACAATCTAGAACCTTAATTTCAAATGGATATATAAGAGTATGAAATTCCAAATAAAACATCTAGAAAGACGACAACCCGAGTAAAAACTCATTTAATCCTTTCTTTTCTCAGTAATTCGAACGATCGAAACCCTAAAAAAGACTGAAAAAACGAAAATTAAGTCGCATCGAGTTCCGTCAAAACCTATTTGATGCAGCTAGAAGAAACGAATTCGATAGCAACGATCGCGTCAAAGAAACAAATTCGAAGAACGTCGAAAGATCGCGATGAATCGCAATTAACGTGAGAAGTAAAGAAGGCGGAGGAGGAGGAATGGATTGCATGAACTTACCGGAACTCGGAAGAGAATCGCCGACGACAGTGCAATTGTAGGAATCAATAAGGCGAAGAGATAAACCCTAGAGTTGTTGGTGCTGTTGAGATGGGATGGGTTGGAAGGGAGGAGGAGGAGGGAGAGAGATTTGGGAAACAGGAATCATGAACAAACTGGAAAACTGAACGAGAAAGTGAAAGTCAAAAGACCAGGGCAAAGAAAGACTTATCCCGCAGGGAGAAATGAGGAAACGACGACGTTGAGAACTACTTGATCTGGTTCACGGAAGTGTACTCCAAATAAAAATTATGGGTTTGCTGCAACGACTTGGTTTAAATAGAAAAAATTTAATTTTTTTAAATAAAATATTAAATTTAAATATTATGAATAAGGGAATAATAAGAGGATTTTTGTTTTTAACTTATGAGTGGATGGGTGGGTTAATAGGGAACTTTTTAGTTTAATCAAAAATTTTAATTTTAAATTTTAAAAATATAGTTTCGTTAAAATTTTTAAGGGAGAGTTTTACTGTTTATTGGGTGTTATCCGGTTTAAATTTGAATTAATGAATGATTAAGTGAACTTTCAAATATCGACTGGCCATAGCAAAAAAAAAAAAATTTTTTTGTTATGCGGTTTGCAACCTTACTCGTCTTTCTTACGGTTGAGGTTCAAGCTTGAAGTTTTAAGGTCAATATGTAGCATCCTTTATTGGGTTTTAGAACATTAGTTAATGAAACAATTAATATACTTTTAATTTTTAATTTACATAAAATAATATAAAAGTTAATATAAATTTTAACATCAATATTTATTGTGTAATTTTAATAAAATAATTAATAAATTAAAAATTAATTTTTATTTATTTTTAATTTATATTAATTATTAAAATATATATTAATTATATTTTAAACGTATATTTTGTAACATTTTGTAAGAAACTTTTCTTTATTCACATCTATTATTTTAAGTTTGTGCAATTCAAATTATAAAATGTACTTTTATCCAAGATCCAAATTTTGTTTCCTCTTATTTTGTAAAATCAATTTTCTTATTGGTCAAGAAGCCTGTGGGGGTCAAGTAGCCACTTAACTATTAGTTAAAAGGCATCTTACTTTAAATGTGAGATTCAATTCCTACCCCTTCTCGCATTTTTTTGCTGTGATTGTTACCATTGCTGCCCTAAAAAAGCAACTGGTGGGTTGCACACTTTCAGATTCAATACTTCTCATTAACAATTCTAATTTTATTAACTTCTAATCATTATCTTTGTCAAAAAAAAAATTTTCTTAT